TCTCCTTGGATTCCACTGCCTGAGGCGGCTGCCTCAGTCCACCTCATGGGTGTGATGGCCCTACTTCTTAGATCTCAAACACTCTTTCCCCTTCTGAAGGCAAATTCAGGGCTGTAGGGAAACAGGGAAATGTGGTCTGAAAGCTGCCCTGAAAAGCCCCTCTCTAGCCAGGATCATGAGGAGAAAGGAAAGAAGGTCCCAGTGCAAAGGGCTGCTTCCTTGTCTTGGTCCTAAATGCAGCTTCTGCCTTGCTTCCTTTTCACAGACCCTCTTTTCCAGGGACAGTCCTGGATTTACAGAAGCCACCATGGTTTCTGATTTGATCTCAGAATGCCCCACTTTTCCTTAGGACATCCACATGTTCTTCAGAGAAATGTTGGAGGGTATGGCGTTATGCAACTTCCATAGGCCAAGGAGATAAGTAACTGTACAACCTTTAGAAAATATCTGAAGGCAGCCTATATAGGGAAGTTTTTAAGGTTGAATGTTTTATTATGTTTTATTTATTATAATTATGATTATTTCTCAGTAGTGGCGCCCGCCCTGTGGAACACCCTCCCATCAGATGTCAAGGAAATAAACAACTATCTGACTTTTAGAAGACATCTGAAAGCAGCCTTGTTTAGGGAAGTTTTTAATGTTTGATCTTTTATTGTGTTTTTCATATTCTATTGGGAGCCACCCAAAGTGGCTGTGGAAACCCAGCCAGATGGGTGGGGTATAAATAAATAAATTATTGTTATTGTTACTACTACTACTACTACTACTACTACTACTACTACTATATGTTGGAAGCTGGCCAGAGTGGGTGGGGCAAACCAGTCAGATGGGTGGGTTACAACAACAACAACAACAACAACAACAACAACAACGTTATTGTTGATGGTGCTGATGTTGTTGAATAGGACACCCGTATTTTCACCAGAGAAATGTTGGATGGTATATTTTCAGGGTCTGGAGGTCATGGTTGGCTGAGAGTAGAAAGGAGCAGGGGCAGGTTTTGAAGAAGAGACTTGGCTTTTCCTTCCCCTCCACCCACAAACATGATATTGAGGAAGGATGGGTGGTAGAAAGGCTGCGTATGCACCATATATTTAAAGCACCCTCCCCAAGTACCCTGTTTGTTAAGGGTGCTGGTAAGTGTAGTTCCATAGGGGTAAACTGCAGTTCCCAAGGTTCTTGAAGGGGGAGTGCTTTAAATGCACAGTGTGTATGTACCCCATTTTCTTTTATAAGCATTCATGTTTATCATCCAGTTGCGGAGACTGCTCATCCACACAATAGCTTGCCTACTTTTGGTTTTAAATTATCTAATCCCTCCTTATGGTCGCAGTAATGCTAACATGACATTATGAACGTGGTGTGGAATGACCCTTAAATCAAATCAGAAAGTTTCTCCCTTCAATGGAATGGCATCTTGCCAGATAACGCAGAACCAAAAATACATTTAGATTGATCCGTCGTGGAAGTCAAATCTGTCCACATCTACAAACACACAAACAAACGGTGACTGTGAATTCGATGGCTATTTTCTTTTCTTTCTTTAAAAATGAAAACCAAAAAAAAGACCCTAAAGATTATTTATGGTTTATTTTAGACACCCGATCATTTGATGCTTGTTTCATCAATTTGTCACTGTTTTTATTGTCACCAATTGCCCATAACTGGAGTGCATTTAAAACAACATTGATCTTGATATTATGGTGTCATAATATGACAGTAATAGTTGTAGTCTGCTCAGGAAGCCCAGTTGCGAAGATTGATGGCTTTCACCGTACCAATTATATTCTGTCCATCTAAGTGATAAAGAGAGCGTTGGAGGCATTCAATAGACAAATTAGATATCTTTTCCAATTATTTCTTTTATTTTATAAGGCCACATGTTTGATTAACAACTTTTTCCTTCTCTTATTAGCCAGCCTGCATTGCACATTTTGTTCCATGTGTTTTAATTTTACAGATTTAATGAAGGATATTGGAAAACATCTACGGAACTGACAAAGTGGTATCCTCTTCTCTCTCTCTCTCTCTCTCTCTCTCTCTCTCTCTCTCTCTGTGTGTGTGTGTGTGTGTGATTTCTTTTTATAGATCATGGGCATTTAGTTTCTTCCCTTCAGAGTTTAAAAGAAGGACAAGGATATTTTCCTTGGCTGTGGGAGAAGTAAGAGAATAACACAGTCATCGTATAAAGAGACCAGGCCTGTTTCCTTCAGTACTTGCTTAGTTTTTATTTAGAGTAACAGCAAACAGCAAACACATCTGGGAAGAAACGATCGTAATGAAATTAATTTGCTACAGAGAAGCCCAGACAAATGATACAAAACCAGTCATAAGAACGTAAAAATGCATCTTTCCTCTTCTTAATAGCCATTAAATGAACATAAAATGCAATCGTAGAATTTATACAAATAAATTAACCAGCTTGGGCTAAGGAAGGGAACTTCCAGAGAGGCCATGCACTTCTTTATTTACAAACCGCCAGTCAGAACTGGGATAAGTGCACATCTTTGCATGCTCTGAATACAGATCTATGCGTGGCTGGGATCATTTCATAGAAAGAAGACTCCACAGAAACAAAGTGCAGCCATTTACATCTCAAAAGGAAAACACACACAAATGAAGAATATGAGATTGAAAAGGTGACAGATGCCAAGCAGACAATTGGGATGCTCTTGTGTGTGTTAAGGTAGGAACACATGTTTCTGTATCTCTAAATGCACATGTTGTCTGGGATCATGGCCAACAAGTGGCCCATGAGCCACATATGGCCCCCAAAGTAATTTTATCTGGCCCTGGCTGCTCTACCATTGGTACCTAAGAAGCCAACTTTTGCCAGTTCAGATTTTTGTTCATCTAGTCCAGAACCATCTACCCTGGCTGGCTGTGGTTCTTCAGGCTCTGAAGAAGAGGTCTTAGGATCACAGAAATGGAAGGGACCTTGGGGATCATGTATTCCAACCCCCTGCAATGCAGGAATATGCAGCTGTCCCGTATGAGGATCAAACTTGCAACCTTGGTATTATCAGCATCTTGTTCTAACCAACTGAATTAGCCAGGCTGAGCTTCCTGAGTCTTTTCACTAGCAGTGCTAGCTATTGAAACTGGGACTTTACATGAATCTGGACCTTACATCTGCTGCTGTAGTTCCTTGCATAAGGCATGGTGAAAAGTGCAAAGTCTCAGGGTCTCCTCAGAAGGAGGAGACAAAATGTGTTTGGGTTGTAGGAGATGGTCCATATGCATTAATGTTATATTGCTCTTTTGACTTTGTAGGCAGCATTCCAGATATGCTTAAGTGAGTATGCCTTGTATGCTGCCTTGAGGACTATTAGGCTACAAAGCAGGATGTAAACATTTCAATTGCATAAAAGAAACAGCATCTGTGATGCCTTTACTGCTGGAATGGAAAATGTTATTATTATTATTATTATTATTATTATTACACATGACTTTCCCCAAAGAAGTCTGGAAACTGTAGCCCTTCAATTCCCAGCATCTGTAAGAGACTACAATTCCCAGAATTCTTGGCAGGGGGGAGTCATGTACTTTAAATATACGATATGGATGTGACCTAGTCCCAGAAATGCTTTTTTTTTTTTGGAAAAGTTTTTATTGTTAAAATAGTTCAGCATTAATACACACATATTGCGAATATACAAGCATACAAACATACATTTCATACAATCCTTAAAAATATTCAAACATACCTACATTCAGTCCCACAGATAATTCCTTTTCCCATCACCATCCACCACTCCTCACCCCACCTTTGTGTTAGACTTCCAATCTACTCAATTGCAATTTCTTTCCACTTCTATTACTTTCTTTCACACACCTTTAACCTAATTTCGTGCTTCTTTTTCTATTACACATTGCTATCCATCTTATTTAGTATTTCAGTATTTAAAACGGAACTTGATATTCTAATAGGAGTTCTGATTTTTCAATATGGTTTTGCAAGTATCCTTTAAACACCTTCCAATCCCTGTCTATCTTCTCTTTTGAGATCCTTCCAATTTCTCCCATTGTTTTGCATATATTGTAGTACTCCAATAATAAAAATGCTGTATCCAATTCTTTATCTGCATAAGCAAATTGTTGTCAGTCATACTTTCTGCATATATCCATGTCCAGCATTAACACCTCACATGTTGCTACATTGGACACACGTGTATTTCCCTATGGTCTACATCTTGGGCGTTAATGATACAGTGTGGGTACAAGGAAATGTGATCTTCTGAGCTTCCTGCATTCGTGCATCTCATTAGCTCCCAAGAATCCTGTGCTTGTCAGAGATCATCCTTGGCAAATGCAGTGCCACACAGAGTTGCACATATGGCGCCTATAGACTCATATCCTGTCCCCGGCACATGTGTGGCAGTACATCTGAAGCCTGGGGGGGGGGGGCAGGGGAATACACAACCTTTGATGAGATCACTTGCCCATAATGAAAGAGTAGAGATCAGGTATAGCCCTGAGGCAGGAGGTTTCACGTTCTGTCCCTTCCTCCGGTATGTGAAACTATTAGCTATTCTTGCTGCTCCGCAGAGATGTCCAATCCCTCTTTGAAACTTGCTGAAACCTTTCCCTGGTTTTTGATGAATGAACTTTTAATGGAGAGGAATAGGTCGGCTTGTTTTAAGTGAAACGTTTATATGGAAGTGGATGATTTAAACAACTTTAGCTCCATTAAACAAAAAGGAAAGCTAGATCTTAAACTCTCATTTGTTTCGGAGAGTGTCTGGCCTGGGATAAACATGACATTAAGTAGCCATCTGAGCATTGCTAAAACATACATTTGCCTTCATAATAAAATGTTTTTAAGAGATAGTAATGGTTACCTTGAGAGCGGTTCACATTAGAAGCATTAAAAAGAGAGAGAGAGAAAACCCTAGTCCTGAATTCTTTCAATAACTGTCCATCACCTAACAGCAATAGCATACCACAAAATAGGAAGTGCTGCTGATCCGATTTATTTGGCAGGAACCTCTAAGTCTCATTTAAAGGCAACGGCACTGAATGTTTAAATGTGGAAATCTTAAATCTTCTTGCTTGCTTCTCTCTTGCCTCAGACCTGCTGTGTCTGCAAAAGAGCACGGATAAGGGCAGAGATTAAAGGTATTGTTGATGTCATCCACATTTAGATACTAGTTGCTGGTTCAGTCTGATACGTATTCAACTTTTTCCTTCATTTCTATCCTAAGTCCAGAAAGCGAATAATGTAAATCATAGGTTTTGATAGCATTTCACTGCCCACAAGGGCCACCCTATTTATTTCAATGTTGAAAACATTGAAGAATATTCAGGAGTATACCGTATTTTTCGCTCTATAACACACACCCGACCATAACACGCACGTAGTTTTTAGAGGAGGAAAATCCGTAGGCATGCCACCCGTAGGCATTCCCTCCATAACACGCACAGACATTTCCCCTTACTTTCTAGGAGGAAAAAGGTGAGTGTTATGGTGCAAAAAATACGGTAAAAATTCAGGAGTATAAACAGAATAAACATTGAGAATATCCTCCTGAAAAGGAATAAGGCAGGCTTCGTGCTGAATACCACACTGAAGAGCACATGGGCCCTTTGGGTTGAAGGCATTATTATTATTATTATTATTATTATTATTATTATTATTACTACTACTACTATTGCATAATATATATAGGCATTGCACACACACAAAAAATCACTCTCATCCCCACAGTTCACTAAGAGAAATACAATCCCCAGGTATGAATGTATTGGTCCGACAAGCACACCACAGTTTTATTTTTTTTATTTTATTCATTACATTTACCTTTCTTCCAAGAAGCTCAATGGTTCTTTTCCCTCCCTTTTTATCCTTACAACAAGCCTGCGAGGTAGGTTAGGATGAGAGACTTGTGACTGGCCCAAGGTCACCCACTGAGTTTCATGGCCTATTGGGGATTTGAACACTGGTCTCCCAGGTATTAGTCCAAGACTCTTAACCACTATACTGAGAACTTACAAAATAGCCCATGCAAATTTTTGTAAGTCCCTATCCTATTTTGTCCTTTTCAATGATGCACCCTCCCTTTTTTATTGGAAGGAAGAAAGAGGAGAGAGGAGAAATGGGATTGTTTCATTGTTTCTGCTAAGAGGCCATCTCCCCTGGGCTCCTGCTCTCTCTGCACTGTTTTCATTCTGGCTGGTCATTACATCTTTAAGAACTGAGTTTGCTTGTTTTCTTCTTCTTTCCTTGTCCCCGCTTCCCTTTGTTCTGATGACTTTTAGACTGTAAGCCTGCTGGCATGGGCTGCCTTGTTTTCATTGATCTCATCACATTACCTAACATCCATGTACTCAAATGCTTCCAAACATAAATGCGTGCTGAGCCATTTTCAAAGGTCAGTTCTAATGGGCTTAGGATATCTCACCCCATTTTGCAGCCTTGGGCATTTCTTGAACCTGTAATTTCCACAGTTAAGTATGCCTTTGGATGGGGAAATGTTTTATTTTGCCCTATTTAAATATGCCACTTCCATTTCTTCCCTTTCCCCATTGTCTAAATTCAGAGGACAGTAATTCCCAATCTATCTTACTGAGACCATAGTCAATTCTCATGGCCAGAGCAAAACATGCTAGTGATGACCATAGGGGGAAATCCTAATGATATTCGCTCCCATACAGTCTACTAAGAAAGCATCCTGCAGTTCTCCCACTGACAGCAGTGAGAGCTGTGACAAGAGCATTACACCCAAAGAGATGCCATCTGGTGTAGTGGTTGGAGTGTTTCAGCCAAAGAGCAAGTTGAATTTTTCTTCCTTAAAAAAACTAGGCATGGAGGCATAACATTTCTCCAATGAAATTAGGGACATCCTAAGGAAAAGCAGGACAAACCTAGACAGCATCTTAAAAAGCAGAGCCATCATCTTGCCAACAAAGGTCTGTATAGTTAAAGCTATGGTTTTCCCAGTAGTGATGTATGGAAGTGAGAGCTGGACCATAAAGAAGGCTGAACGCCGAACAATTGATGCTTTTGAATTATGGTGCTGGAGGAGACTCTTGAGAGACCCATGGACTGCAAGAAGATCAAATGTATCCATTCTTAAGGAAATCAGCCCTGAGTGCTCACTGGAAGGACAGATTGTGAAGTTGAGACTTCAATACTTTGGCCACCTCATGAGAAGAGAAGACTCCCTGGAAAAGACCTTGATGTTGGGAAAGATGGAGGGCCCAAGGAGAAGGGGACGACAGAGGACAAGATGGTTGGATAGTGTTCTCGAAGCTACTAGCATGAGTTTGACCAAACTGCGGGAGGCAGTGGAAGACAGGAGTGCCTGGCGTGCTCTGGTCCATGGGGTCACGAAGAGTCAGACAAGACTAAACAACAACAACAAAGGAAAAGCGGAACATTCCCGGATCAAATCAGAAACCGAGACAGTTTCTGTAAATCTGGAACTGTCCCTGGAAAATAGGGACACTTGGAGGGTCTGCAAAGCTTGGATTCCATGCTTGGAAGACCATGCTTCAAAGGGACAGAAGTTATAAGGCTTCCTCCTCATGCCATGGTCCTGACCCAAGTTGCCTCCTACCAAGTTTCTATTAATCATACTATGTCCATATGCTATCAGCTCTGTGGCCAATAGCAGATTTGGGTGTGTGTTAAACTGGGGTGTGTGTTAAACTGGTCATGGGTCCAAGGGTTAACCCCTCTCCTCCATGCTGCAGCCCAAATCCAAATCAGCCACACACATACACACACCCTCTCAGTTGCTTTTTGAAGAAGAAATTTATTTTGGGAAGTGAGAGCTGGACCATAAGTAAGGCTGGTCACCGAAGAATTGATGCTTTTGAATTATGGTGCTGGAGGAGACTCTGGAGAGTCCCATGGACTGCAAGAAGATCAAACCTATCCATTCTTAAGGAAATCAGCCCTGAGTGCTTACTGGAAGGACAGATCCTGAAGCTGAGGCTTCAATACTTTGGCCACCTCATGAGAAGAGAAGACTCCTTGTAAAAGACCCTGATGTTGGGAAAGATGGAGGGCACAAGGAGAAGGGGAAGACAGAGGATGAGATGGTTGGACAGTGTTCTTGAAGCTACCAGCATGAGTCTGACCAAACTGCGGGAGGCAGTGGAAGACAGGAGTGCCTGGTGTGCTCTGGTCCATGGGGTCACGAAGAGTTGGACACGACTAAACAAGTAAACAACAACAACAACAACAACAAATCACAGAATGCTAATGTGACATGTAGTTTGTCCCCTGATGAGACCTGGGTTCATTTGCTTGCATCAACTACACAGCCACAAAGCACATTGGGTGATATTTGGCTTGTCACCACCTCTCAACCTAGCATGATTCACAGGGTTGTTGTAAGGAAGATAAAGAGGAAGACCTTTTATTCCATACTGAACTCCTTAGACAAACTGTGGAACAAAATTTTGATGAAAAACATAGAACCCCCCCCCCCAGTGAATTGTGAACTAAAGATCTGATCTGGCTGCCTCCCACTTTGCCACTCTTAATGGCACATTTCAAGTTGCCTGATGGCTAGACTACCTAGAATGCAGAGAGGTGAGACGGGAACGAGGGGTGCAGGCTGGATGTGGGGGGCCACAGTCCACATGCAGCCCATGGGCCCTGGCTTAGACCCTCCCCCTTTAAATTTTCTGTTTTACAATTTAAAATTCATTATGGATCATTTCCGAATACTCTTTTACCCTGACCCTGGCCTAGACTTTCGACATGTTGCTAAATAATAATAATAATAATAATAATAATAATAATAATAATAATTTATTTGTATCCTGCCCTCCCTGGCCTCTTCTAGAAAATGATCAGTCCTGTTCTTTTTTGGATAATCCTTCTAGGACAGTGATCAAATCCACTATGCTTTCGATACAGTAGCAGCAATATAATTTTTTGTGTTTAGCATCCTTGTTTTGTTTCACCATTTGTCTGCTTTGTGGAGTGAGGTCAGGCCGCCAGATCTGGGGAGCTGCACCTCTGGTGACGTGTATGAAGGTTTCCCAGCCTGTCTCTGCCTTCTCTGGAAGGGACTAGCAAGAGGGAGAGGGAGATAGAGCTGAGCGAGGAGCCAAGGGCTGTGCTGTTAACAGAGCAAACGTCTCCACGAGATTTATGGCAAGGGTGAGGAACTGCCTTGCCTCCTGTGATGAATTAAAGGGAGAAAGGAAACTTCCATGATAGGTCTGCTGAAGGAATTTCCCTCTTGTCTGCCCAGAAGGGGGGACTAGAGGGGAAGGGGAGTTTAAGTTTGAGCCAGACTTCTCCAGCTGCAGATCATCATCATCATTCTCTCCCCCCCCCCCACTTCTGAAGATGGAGGCTGCTGCTTTGCCTATAAAGTCAATCTGGCTTGGGGAAGGGGGGGCATGGCTTCTCTTGGCACCCATCCTGATTAGACTCTTCAGTGGAGGCAAATCTGTTTTGCACTTGTAAGATTTCGTGCCAGAACACTGCATTTGTGTGTGTGCACAGAGAAGGGGTGGTACCTCAGTGGTAGAGCATGTGTTTTGCATGCAGAAGGCCTCAGGTGCAATCCCTGGTACCTGCAGGTAGGGCTGGGAACATAAGAAGAGCCAACTGGATCAGGCCTATGGCTGATCTTAGCTCCAGCTTGCCAATCAGAAGGTTGGCGGTTCGAAACCCCATGATGGGGTGAGCTCCCGTTGCTCGGTCCCTGCTCCTGCCAACCTAGCAGTTCGAAAGCATGTCAAATTGCAAGTAGATAAATCGGCACCACTCTGGTGGAAAGGTAAACGATGTTTCCGTGCGCTGCTCTGGTTTCCCAGAAGTGGCTTAGTCATGCTGGTCACATGACCCGGAAGCTGTACACCCGTTCCCTCGGCCAATAAAGTGAGATGAGCGCTGCAACCCCAGAGTCAGTCATGACTGGACCTAATGGTCAGGGGTCCCTTTACATACATACGCTTCAGGTTACAGACTCCGCTAACCCAGAAATAGTACTTTGGGTTAAGAACTTTGCTTCAGGATGAGAACAGAAATTGCGCGGCGGTGGCGTGGCAGCAGCGGGAGGCCCCATTAGCTAAAGTGGTACCTCAGGTTAAGAACAGTTTCAGGTTAAAAACGGACCTCCAGAACGAATTAAGTTCTTAACCCGAGGGACCACTGTATTTACAGGTGATGGCCATTTCATGTGGGGGCTCCATTCCCATCCCCCACACATGTTGGCAGAGCACGCACCAGTGCCCCCCGCTGTCCATTCCACCCACCTCCATTCCACCCCTGTTCTAACCCTCTTCTGGGTCCAGGAGGCCTGCACATCAGTGATCACACATCAACTGGACACGCCTAAAATGGTTGCCACCTGCATTTATAAAAGTGTGGCCCATGGGTCTGGCTCAGTATAAGGTTCCTATGCTCCCAGCAGGGTGGTTAAAGTGTAGCACAGGAACCACATGTTGTGGCTACAGAGAAATTCCCACATGGACAAACAGCTAGCCCACCCCCTCCCTCCATCCACATCCTCATACAGCATATTTCTCATTGTTGTGCCATGAAAGGAAGAGTAGTTAGATAATGTGGAACACAAGACCATCAAAGAACATACTGTAGTTAAGAGCCACAACCATTTTTTCTTTAACCCCTGGTTATTGCCATTTTAACTGGTGCCACTGTTTGGATGCTTTTGTTTAAATACAAAAAACCAAAATCCCCAACATTTTCTTTTCTGAAGATGAATTCCTACAGTGTTGTCTTGTTCTTGCCCCCTTAACAGATGCTAGTGTCCCCAAACATATTGTTTCCTGTTCTTGCCCTGTTCTTTTCTCAGCTCACTAATAGTTATCACCCAGCCAGTATTTTCTTGAATTCCTTGCACACTAAGATCTGCAGACAACACCAAAATCTGACTATTTGCTAAGCTCTCCCTTCCAGCAAACAGAGTATTATCGTATTTTTTGCCCTATAGGACGCACTTTTTCCCCCTCCAAAAATGAAGGGGAAATGTGTGTGCGTCTTATGGGGCGAATGCAGGCTTTCGCTGAAGCCTGTAGAGCGAGAGGGGTCAGTGCGCACCGACCCCTCTCACTCTCCAGGCTTCAGGAAGCTCTGCGTAACCCTTGGGAGACTGGCGCGACTTCCCGCCGGGCTCCCTAGGCTTGCGGATAGCAGCCTGTTCTGGGGGCTGGGGTCGGGGAAAGCTCGGGGTTCCCCCACCCCAGCCCCGCACCTGGGGGGGAAATAATTTTTTTTTCTTTATTTCCCCCCCAAAAAAACTAGGCCGGTGCGCCCTATGGGGCAAAAAATACGGTAACTCAGTCAGTAATTTATACCAGCAGACACAGTGCTGCCAACACACTGCTTTTTTAAACACTGTTTCTTAAAGTACTGGTAAGGATGCATCCATTCATGTGGCTGGCTGCTGAAAACACTCAGGAACACTATCTAGAGTGATGGTGCAGTAAAATAAAAAGTGAGCTTCCCAGTCAAAACAGTGCAGCTGAGAGGTATTTGCATCACACTCACCTTCCACATTGCAGTGATGCACTGATTCATTAGTAATAGATCTTTCCACCCCATTCAGTGAGATGACGGGAAACCTGATATGTACTTCCTGCTTGTGGGCATCTTTCCTGATATTGCTGTGGGGAGGATGAGAGTATATTATGGGGAATGCAGAAAAATGTATATACTACTGCTTAGAGTTAGACCAGGGGTCAGCAAACTTTTTCAGCAGGGGGCCGGTCCACTGTCCCTCAAACCTTGTGGGGGGCCGGACTATATTTTGGAAAATAAAAATAAAAATGAATGGATTCCTGTGCCCCACAAATAACCCAGAGATACATTTTAAATACTGTAAAAGCACACATTCTGCTCATGTAAAAACACCAGGCAGGCCCCACAAATAACCCAGAGATGCATTTTAAATAAAAGGACACATTCTACACATGTAAAAACACACTGATTCCCGGACAGTCCGTGGGCCGGATTGAGAAGACGATTGGGCCGGATCCAGCCCCTGGGCCTTAGTTTGCCTACCCATGAGTTAGACCAACCTTCCCCAATTTGATGCCTCCTTTGGACTATAACCCCCATCAGACCCAACCAACATGGCCAGTGGTCAGGGATAATGCAAACAGTAGCACCAGATTGTGGAAGACTGGCTTAGGTAGATGAAGCATTCATGATTTCACATTGATAAGCGCATCTTCATGGAAAGAAAAACATGGTAAGTTATTCTAGAGAGCCACTTTCTCCTAAAATGTTCCAATCTCAGGCAGTGATGAAAGTACACAATGGAGAAAACCTGTCCCAATCCAGAGCCCTCAAACTTAAGCTCCATACAAAAAATATTCTCTAGCTATGTGTGATAGTGACTCTCACTTCTCCTCTATGGATGGGAAGTCGGAGATGCTCTTGCAAGCTCCATAACCTCCAGCAAGAGCTTCAGCCCATGCTCTGTATGCAGAGAGTATTGGCATTTCTAGTAAAAAAAAAAAGATCATGTGATGGGAAAGACCTTTGCTTGAGACCCTGGAGAGCACTGGTCAGTGCTAGGCTAGATGGACCTGGCATGAGGAACCTCTAAAAAGGGGTTCAGATGAGGCATTGCTGTCCCTGTGGAAATAGCCATTGTGGAATATTCTCTCCCCTGTTTGCTCACCATCTACCTGTTCAGGAGGGCAATGGAGATGAATGTATCAGCAGTACAGATTAATTGCAAGCCCTCTTTATTAAGGAATTTGTTGATCTGGGAAATGGATCCTTACCGAAAGAGACAGCAGGGGAAGAGTAATAAATTGCATCCTTGTCACTTGTAAACAGCCTTTCCCATCCTAAACAGCTGGCCTGGGGACAAAATGCAAGCATTGGGTGTGTGAAGTCCTTCCCGTCTGCCGCATTTCCAGCAATTTGACTTGTTTGGGCCCGAACGTGTCACTCTTTGGAAGTCACCATCACACCTCCCTTGGCTTTCCTGGATAGCTTGAGGTTGCGTCATCACCACCGAAGGCACCTTCCTTAAAGAGCCCCCTCAAGAATGCTGGCTGGTTCCTTCTCTCCTCACCCTGCACACCCTCAGCGGAAAGAAAGAAGGGCTGATGACAGCCTGTTGAGTGACTTGTTTGCAAGAGATGAAGTGATAGCAAGCACAGTCTCTGATGCATATGCCTCCTCTCAACGCTAGTTCCTTATGCATAAGGAAAAAGCAAACAGATAAGAAAGTTCAGAGGAACTTGAGGGTTCAGGAAGACTTGCCTGACATCACACGTGCGCAAACAAGCTTTGGAAACCACACAACTTATCTGTATAAAAATAATGCTACTATTTGCCTTTTTTATGGAGCCATCAGTTCTTAATCTACCATGGACCTACCTCACCCAGCACCTGAATAACTCAAGTTCAGAGGGCCTTTTATCTAGCTTTATTTACCATTTTGTTTCCTAGGGCAGGGGTGGGGATACCAGTTGGACTCAAGCGCCCATCAGCTCCAGGCAGCATAGCCAATGGTCAGAAATGATGGGCAAGTCCCAACATTCAAGCAGCATGGGGGAGGCACATTTTCTCTACCCCAGCCCTGCGGATTTAGACTAGACATGAGATTGACCAGGGCATTTTTGGTTCACTAGCAAGCAGAACTGAAGCAAATGCAGAGAAAAAGATTTGAATTGTTGCATGGGAATCATGCAGGTCAAACATTTATCAAAAAATGATGGGTAAGGTGTTGGATGACTCCCCTTTCAAAACTGTCAATCTTTCTAAGGTGCTTTAATGGGTCATCATGTCAGCCTTCCCACAACCTGGTGCCCTCCACATGCTCTGTACTACAACTCCCATCAGCCCCAGAATGGGGTTCTGTACCCAAAGCAAAGTTGCAGCAATCACAATGATTCTGAGTTCAAAGTCAACAGGTTTTTTTCTTTTAAGCAGAAGGATATTCATGAACTTTCAAGATCCATGAAATGTTCCATTTCAGCACTCAGCAGCACTAACATTTCCAAAAGGTAAAGGGACCCCGGACAATTACCGTAAGTCCAGTTGTGAACAACTCTGGGGTTGCGGCGCTCATCTCGTTTTACAGGCTGAGGAAGCCGGCATTTGTCCGCTTCAGCAGACAGTTTTTCTGAGGCATGTGGCCAGTATGACTAAGCCGCTTCTGGTGAACCAGAGGAGCGCACGGAAATGCCGTTTACCTTCCCGCCGGAGCGGTACCTATTTATCTACTTGCACTTTGACGTGCTTTCGAACTGCTAGGTTGGCAGGAGCAGGGACCGAGCAACGGGAGCTCACCCTGTTGTGGGGATTTGAACCATGGTCCTTTTGATTGGCAAGCCCAAGGCTCAGTGGTTTAACCCACAGTGCCACCTGCATCCCATTTCCAAACCCTTCCATAAATCACAACAGAAGTTTGATTTGTTCGCATTTCAAAAAGATCTTCTTGATTGGCTTTTTCTTACAAAGACGTGGTGATAATAGCAGTTCTGTGAGAAGCAAGTGGACTTCCAGGACCTTTTATAGGTGGAATGGGAAATACTTTGTGGTTTCCCACTTGTTTTTGGACTCCAGCTCCCATCATCCCTTATCATTGGTTATGCTGGCTGGGGCTGAAGAGAGTTGTGAGTACATAAGCTCTAGAAGGCCACAAGTTCCCACCATTGCTATCTTACAGTATGAGGATCATCTACGTACCTGGATCTAAAAGGAAGAGAAGGGTGGCTTGATCTGGCAAGCAGGCAGCGTCTGGTGATGTTTCCCCTAACTCTTTGGCTTCCATATCCCCTACAGATCCTACAGTGAGAAAGTGGGATAGTAAAGATCTGAGGACCACATGTTTGATAGTGAAAACTAGTGAGGGTACAGTGGCCATTGTAGACTTGAAAATCCTTTGCTTCTCTGAGACGTGACATTTATTGCCTTTTCTTAATTTGTTCTTAATGTGCCGACAGTGAACACTTGTGATATATACACAGCACACTCATGAAAAACAAAGGCTAGTATCCAATGCTGATTCTGCACAGGGTATACTCGTTAAAGTTAATAGACATGACTTGGATTCATACTTTTCAGTGGGTCGATTCTGAATGGAAGTTAGCTGGATACATACAACCCAAGAGTGGTGAGATACATACTGCACCAGGGTATCAACATTATTTCAGTGGTTGGTTCATTTCATGTTTGTTTGTTTGCTTGTTTTATTTCAAATGTTCATATCCTGCCTTTCATCAGTATTAATTCCAAGGCCTACACTTATCTCAAGCAGTTGCAACAGCAGCTACATGATACTAGTAGCAGCCGCTGTGGCTGTTGATATGCTAGGAGTTCTCTCAGCTGTCTTTCTCAACCTTTTAAAACTATCTTCAAAAACTTAGCTTGGAAAATTTACAGACCACTTCATCTCTGCTTATAGGGGATGTGAATCAGCAAAAAAAATCAACAGATCATACCATATAGAAATGGGGTTCCCTAACTAATGAACCTCAGACAGGCACTCTAAATATGGAATCGTAGGGTAGAACTTCATTATTTTTAGCTTAGTCAGCGCATTACATTATATCCAAGAAACATATAATTAAAATAGCCATTTATGGTGCATTCAGAAAGAGGGGAGGGCAAATTACACCCTTGAGATTACATGGGGGCAAGCACTTAGATCTTGCATTTTTTGCAAGCCGTACATTCCCCACCCTTTGAGGGAAAAAATGACTTCGTTGAATTAAAGCAGTGGGCTAATTTGTGTAAATCCAAGGGTATTTTCTTATATTTGGGTTGTTAATTGGATTGCTTTTCAACATCAGTGAACCACAACTTACTTATAGCTTTCACAGCAACCTCGAACAAAAATGAAACCATCAGACGGCCCTCTCCAAAGAACTGAAAAGGTGCCCTTTCACATATCCTAATACTGTGGTACAGTATATCAATGGAGAGAGAGAGAGAAAATATCCCCACATGTTTCCACAAGCAGAGGGCTACCAAGCACAGAATTGGCTTGCCAAGCTAAAAAGTGAAAAAGGCAAGATGTTTTATTAGACACCACCCTCTGGATGAAAGAGCGTCATTACATCAGCAGCATTGGGAAAAGAATCAACTGCTAAATCCTGGAAAATTGAAAGGAAAATAAAGGAAAATAAACCACAAGAAAATAACTCATCACAAAGCCTTTAAGTTGCAGCAACACAGAGATACCTGCCCCCCAAATCGAATGGACCCTCAGTTGTAGTCTTAAACCAAGTCAGCTGAATGAATGGTGCAAACAGATAACTATCAGATTTGGTCCCATCCAAATCATACATGGCTTCCCCCAAGGAATCCTGTGAACTACAGTCTATCCCTCACAGCACCCTTTAGCAAACTACAATTCCCAGGATTCTCTGGGGGAAAGCTACGTGCTTTAAATGTATGGTATGGAACAAGAAGCCTCTCATACTATTTGTGTGAAACTGAATTCCACTCCCAGTGTCTACATAGAATAGAATCAAGTGGTACAGCTGTTCTCCAGCCTGCAGGTGACAATTTTGTATGTTTAAATGCTCCCCCCACGGACGAAGAACTCTTCCTTTATGCAGGGGGGAAAAACACCCAAGGAGACTTTTGTCAGGGGAAAGGGGGGGAAACCCATACTCATTTTCAACATGGAGGGAGTTTTATTTTCCCATAAGGCGACATTCATCCATGCAAGTTTCCCACTTCCCCTGAAACCTAAAGAGGTATAGTCTAAAAATAGCTTTCTGCATTCTGCTAAATGTGTAAACTGGGTCTAAGTTCAACACTGCCTCTAACAGTCTGCACTTAAGCAAAACAATTTACTTGGCTGACCACTGGCTCCAAGCTGGCGGAAATGAATGATGCATACTGGGCAGAGGGAGAAATGATAGTTGGGATTGGCATCTTAGATTTATTCCCATCTTTCCTAACATTTTCCTTGAATAAATAAGAGACAGATTGAAGATAAATGGAATACGTTACGGCGAAAGTCCAAAAGGAGACAAATGTCGACTCAGCACACACTTTGGGAATGGCAATGTTATTTTTCTCTCCGTATAAATGCTGGCTTTCTCAGAGATACACCAGTGAATGTTGTTGGTGTTTGACAGTTATCCAAAAAGCAGATAGGTGTCGCAAACCTAGCACTGCTATGTTAAGCATCACCAAGGAATATCACCAGGATAAGCTCAGGTAGGTAGCCGTGTTGGTCTGACGCAGTCGAAATAAATTAATTTCGACCAGGATAAGCTGAATTGTTAACAATTGTCAACAATTTCTGGGAAAGTATGACCCAGCAATCTACGCATGCAGGACCCCACAACTCATCTTAATGCCAAAGTTCACTGGTGAACCCCTAGACAATTTCTTCAAAATGGGATTATTAGATGTTTTCTAGAGATTTGATTGCTTGTTTAATGAGAGGCTGTTTAAATTGTTTTGGCTGTTTTAAATAATAGCAGATAGGCATCAAGCGCTGTGCCCTCTGGCCCATCATTTGAAATATCCTATAATTATAATAATAATAATAATACAATACAGTCATACCTCGGGTTAAATATGCTTCGAGTTGAGCGCATTCGAGTTGCGCTCCTCGGCAACCCGGAAGTAACGGAGCGCGTTACTTCCATGTTTCACCACTTGCACATGCACAGACACTCAAAATGACATCACGCGCATGCGCAGAAGCAGCGAAAAGTGACACGTGCTTGCACAGACACACCGTCGCTAGTTACATTTACCTCTAGATGCGAACAGGGCTCCGGAGCAGATCCCGTTCGTATCTAGAGGTACCACTGTAATAATAATAACTGTATTATTTATACCCCACCCATCTGGCTGGGTTTCCTATTGGCAGATTTCAGGGACAGCCTTCTCTACTGTGCCCCTGGGTATGTGATCTGAAGACGTTGCCAAATTTGTACTGGAAAAGGTCCATAGTTCAGTGGTAGAGCTTTGCATGCAGGTTCAATCCCCAACATCTCCTGTTTGATCTGGGAATATTCCCTGCCTGAAACCATGGCGAGCCCCTGACTGGGCAATGTCTGAGTGACTTGAACCAAGGGTCTGATTCAGTATAAGGAAGCTTCCTGTTTTCCCATATGATCCCACCCAGCAACATAAATTTTTCTGGATGCCTTGCGATAAATAAATTTAAAACAAAATCCAAAGTAAAACATAGAAGAATTAAAAGGCATTTGGACTCCTCCTAAGATGTGTTGCATTTGTTTTACTTTATTATTTAAAGCATTTCATTGTTGTAAGCTTGTAATTCTTTTCTAAATATTGTAAACAGGGATATAAAGAATTAAAATATGATACATACATACATACATCTTCTAAATAAATAAAAATAATGGAATTCACCAGAGACTGTCAACAGTTACCTCTCCTATGAGGATGTGTTTTGCCAAAATCTTAATTGCCCCTAGCTGGAGAAAATAGAACATTCCATTGATTAGGGAATGGTTACTAAATGTGGCAGGTATGGGCAAGTTAAACGATGTTGTTAAAGTTTAGGGCAAACAGACAGTTGACAAATGTTCTAGAAGAAAAATTGAAACCTTAATTGGAAGGCAGAGAAAATAAAGTTAACCCTATTATTCTCTCTGCAAGGATGATATAAGTGTAAGTTGGAAGGTATTTATGATGCCCCATGTAAATAATATTTGGAGCTATATAAGCAACAGTACTTTCCCTTTTTCATCTTCTGTGGATATTTTAATACAAATGGGAAACTACAAAGGCAACTTGCGGAATTGGGTCCACAGTGCTGAAAGGCTTGTCCTTGGAAATGGATACTTTCTAGAAGTGGGATTGGATCCCACTGGAAGTTGTCCTGTACAATGTGTGTGGATTAAGTCCTCAGACCACCTGCAATCTATTGCCACCTGCATCCTTCTCCATAGGGCAAAATACATGCCTCTCATAGCCAAAGAACTGAAGTATGATGCATACATAAGCTGTAAAGCGCAGTATATCCTATAGACTTATACATATTCACCCCCCTGGTTGTTTTTTTGCCTTGCATTTATCCATGAGGGATCACTTTACAGCCCATTTCAATCCACCTTCTTTAATCAGAAATAAGTGCAACTGATTTCCCCTAGATTTGCTGCCTAATAAGAATGCACAGAATTGTAACATATTCCAGACTAGCCCAGACACAAAGCAAGAAAGAGTACCTAGAATGAGCAAGTGAAGTCAGCCACAAGACAATTAGTGAACAGCACAAACAGGACTCAAAATCTACCCAAAGAAGATGGCTCTGGGTCACAAAGCAAGCCAGGCCTCAGATCAAGTGAATCCATGGCAGCCAATTTAATAGATTCTGTCTTGTGGTTAATTCTTGTACCTTTATCAATTCATGAGCCCTCCCCTGCTAAAAAACAAAACAAAAACCATTTGTTACTCCTCAACCAAAAGGACCAGCCATCCACTTTCTCCTTTCCCTACTGCTCTCCTTCCTTCCATTTTGGGATGGGTGAACCTGTCGATTTTGTTTTCTCTGCTCTCATTTTTCCACATATGTGTGTGTGTGTGTGTGTGTGTGTGTGTGTGTGTTTCAAAAGTCCTAATGAAGAGTCATCTGCATTTTAGTGTGAATTTCTTCTACTATACACATTTTAAATGGAATTTTGTCCAATCCACACATTTTTTTGCAAAGCGTTTTCCTCTAATATAATATATTTTTCTATGTTATTTTCACTAATAAGTGTATGTTTTAAGCACACTGGGCCCTGTTATATGCATTTGTGTACATATTACTTGGCTGCAGAACTGCACTGCAAAATTCGGAGAAATGCAAAATTCAACAAATGACTGTGTTCAGGCAGGCAGGAGACCCTCCACTATGTGGCTCAGTTCCTTCCTTTGCCACCAGTAAGCACAGTCCTGCTTCTCCCTCCCCTACCAACCAATTGGA